GTTTAGCTAGTATAAATAACGTTGCCAAATTTCAACAAATTCGGGAAAACGATATTTAAGATATTTTGAAAACTAAACATTTCCGAAACTATGTTTATTAAGGTCATATAACTTTTTTTCCTATTTTACGATGACGAATCTCCAGCCGAGCATTGGCGCATGTTTTTTAAACACCCTGTATAAACTTACCTATCACTTCAATGACTATACCAAAAAGAGTTTGTAGCTATATCGAAATTATATTTTGCCTCAAAATTAATGAATGCATATTATGCATTGCCTAACTGACATATATATGTCAGTTATATCAGTCAGTTTATATATATAAACTGCTTCATCGTCTTCACTTTCAATTCATTCTTAAAAATAAAAAAAAATCTTTCGGTCAACGCGTCAGTATTGCAAGGTGCCGCCATATTGTATTTAGTATGACTTAACTTAATTTATCATTTTTTTTTCAAACCCTTTCATTTGATACCCATGTCAAGGAGGTTCTAAAGAAATAGGTATTCTGCACCCATGGGGCGGCCTCCATATTGAATTTAGTACGACGTCACTTACTTTATTGTTTTTTATTCGTCAAACCCTTTCAATTAATACCCATGTCAGGAAGGTTGTGAAGATAAAGGCAATCTTCCATCTTGGATTTATGTAGTATGACTTTATTTAATTTATGTTTTTTTTTGTCAAACCCTTTCATTTGATACTTATTTTAAGGAGGTTGTAAAGAAATAGGTACCTATTCTGTCACCTTGGGGTGGTCTCCATATTGGATTTGATTCGACGTCACTCACCCTATTGTTTTCTACTAGTCAAGCCCTTTTATTTGATACCTATATCAAGTTGTGAATAATAGATAAATCGCCATCTTGGAGCGGATGACATATTGGATTTAGTATAACGCCTTATCTTCAAAACCTTTCATTTGATACCCAAATCAAGGGGGTTGTAAAGAGAAAGGTAATCCTATACTAAATTGTACTGTCTTCAGCACCTAAAGTATGTGCAAAATTTCAGCTCAATCGGTTAAGTATAAGTTGGTTAAAATCCACTTGTGGACACTATTACAAGGGAAGCTTACATAGCGATTAGGTTATATTATAATATAACCTAATCGCTATGTTTTGGTCTAGCCAATTACTTTATATCTATAATAATAATATAATATTTGGAAAAACATATCTAGTGGTCTCTAACAAACCACTTAGTAGCGGTTAAAGGTTAAAGCAGTTTTCCGCCAGATTACTTAAAGAATCAATACCCTGGCACAGATCAAACCAGACAAAAGACAAATTAAAATTATAGTCAACAAACCATTCCTAGCATTTAGTGAGGACCGTTTACAGTTGTCAATTTTATGGTCCTCACTTAATGCGTAGAAAGTTGCTTATAAGCACCTAAAAATATACGTCTTGAAAATATACTCAACAAGAAGCGCCACCAAGTTGCGGTAGCAGCGCCACCTAGTAGCGGTTTAAGAAACTAAAATGCAAAGTGAGGCTTTTTTTATGTCTTACTGAAACAACATTTTATGTAACACAGAAGCGTTCAGGCATAAAATTATTGCTTTGACAAAGTGAGGACCATATACGGTACTCACTTTGCCATGGACCTCACTTTAATAGTAAATTACCTTCGAAAGTGGCTCACTTTGTATGCTGGAAGTAAATATATATATATATATATATATATATATATATATATATATATATATATATATATATATGTTTTTCTAAAATATTTGTAAAAAAAATTAAAGAATTAAAATATTATATATATATATATATATATATATATATATATATATATATATATATATATATATATATATATATATATATATATATATATATATATATATATATATATATATATATATGTTTTTCTAAAATATTTGTAAAAAAAATTATATAAATTTTTATTGAATATTTGATGTGTTCTATGTATATTAATATAAAGTGGGGAGAAATATTAAACGTTTAGTTTTATTTTCCCTTTAAATCAGTATTAATAGTTTTTAATATTATTAAAAAACAGTCCCTAAAAACTTTCCAGACAAAATTACTTATTGTTATAACACTGCATAAGAATAGGCCTTTTGGCCTTATGGTAATAAACTAAATATACTTATCAATTTTTATTCTGAGGTAAAACTATGACATATGTATGTCATAGTTTTACTTATAAGTAAAATTTAACCTTAAAAGTTCCATAAAATAAAGTAGACCCATAACTAATTTTCTTTCGTAAAAATTATCTACGTTAAATAAACATCATTAAAATACGGTGGTTATGGTTATGGTTAATAAAGAAAGTAAACTAAGCATAACAAAATCTTATTATATTGCTTGACCAGATTTTTTACTTTAATGAAATTTTTTAGGGTTAATTTAAGAACATTAACTTAATTTAAGAAATAAATCCGCAAAGCTGTTTTTCTTAAAATGCTGCTTAACTGGATCATGAAATACTTGATTATGTTTGTGTTTCCTTTTTTAACCTGTTTAAACAGCTTATAGGCTGTGGATAAACTGAAAGATAAACAAAGAAAATGCAAAGGAAAAATTATGTTTAAATTGTAAATTTTAAAATTATCAAAGTATTATTTTTATTAGCAGCGCGCCGCTAATAAAAATACTTTTACAAAAAATTTGAAAAATTACAAAAAAAATCAATTTGGTTTTTTTTCGCCGGCTCAATTTTTCCGAAAATATTAAAACACTACTACTAAGTAACCTGCGTAAACAGCCTATAGGCTGTGGATAAACTGAAAGATAAACAAAAAAAAAATATGTTAAAGAGAAATCTAAATTTTAAAATTATCAAAAAAGTATTTATATAAAAATAATAAAAAATACAAATACTTTTACTAAAAATTCGAACAATTAAAAGAAATGATCAATTTGTTTTTTTCTCCGGCTCAATTTTTCCGAAAATATTAAAACACTACTACTAAGTAACCTAAAAAGTAATTTTTTTTAAATTCCACTAAAATTTGGTATCTTTTTTATTGATTTAAAGATATTATTCAAAACAATTATTTTTTAAATTTGAACACTCTGAAACTGGAAACAAAAACCTTTAGGGCATCATTTTACATCTATTATTTTTTTGAAAGGATTCCACTCTTAAAATTTCTCCCAAAATTTCCGTTACATATTATAACTTATTGCAAAACTAGTTAGTTTATTTACTTTTATTTGAAAAATATTATTTTATTAATATATAATATTATGTTATACATGGAATCAAAAATAAAATTGCTATCAATAGTAATTTAATGGTGATAATTTATCCTTTCACTGCAATAGTATCGGAAAGTGTTGGAAATAATTCCGCACTTTGCATATTACAAGCATTTGTGCAAAAAATTTACCCATAAACAATTTCTCATGCTTCCTGAGACAATATTTCCTACTTAAAATAATTAAAATTAAACAACTTGTGTAACATTTTTAAACAAAACCAGACTATATTTTTTTAAGTGTTTTTAACGTTCTGAATCCCACACGAAGAGAAATGTATAGTAAATTTTAGATAGTAAGAAAAATATAGTAAAATTTACTTTAACAAATTTTTAGGGTAACAATATTATATATTCGTCAATACAATATTAAGATTGTAATACAAAACTATTTTTTATTATACAATTTTAGTAAATATTACACCATTATTACTAAATCTTAAATGTATAATATATATTTTAATTTTTAATTTGTTCGTATAGTAAATTGATTTTACTATCTACAAATAGTAATACTGTATACTGTATTTACTATATGATTTAATCAAATGTAAGGTGTACAATGTACACCTTACATTTGATTAGATGTACACTGTACATCTAATATTAAAATATATTACACATTAATAAAAAAATTTAGTAAAAATAAAGATACTTTTATGTTTAAGGTAAATAAACAATATATTTAAATATAATATACAATATAGTAACTCATGACATTTTAAACATTAAATTTTCTTAGTTTCTTTAATAAACTTTCTTGACCCATTACTGGTAATACTTATAAGAAAGAATTGAACCTACTTGGTTGCATAGTATGTACCGATTGCGGCAAAGGCCACGTCGCGACGCGTCGTTAGACAGTGTGGATCACGTGATGTTCTTACATCTCGCCTCTGTTGGCTTACCAACCATGTTATATAAGCTCAGGTATTTCTTTGTTTTGGGTGTGTTCCACTACTACAAGTTGATGGAACGCACTTAAAACAAAAAACTTTGGCAAGGTGTAGGTTCAATTCTTTCTCATAACATTTTTGTATAATAAAAAGTACAATAAATATGTTACAATTTTTAATTGTTAACATATAAAAATATTCGATTTTAAAATATTTTATATTTAAAATGGCAACATAATATTTTAAAATTTACTATACCTATTAGTAATGGAAAAAATCTAATTATAATAAGAATTAAAAACAAAATTGGTTGATAATATTAATATTTTACCTTAAGGTTTAACATACATGGATATTTAGAAATTACTAAATATGCATAGTATCTGGCAATATACAAGATAGTTGTCCCAAATAGTAATATAAATTATAGTAAAGGGTATTATAATTGTGGTAATCAGCATTATACTTTTCTCTCCGTGCAGGTATTTTTATTCCACAAAACTTGTTAGGCCATCTGAAAGTACTTCTAATATTTCTTTTTGAAATTCTTTTAATTTTTTTAATATTCTTTCTCTTGTAGAAATCGTTTTTTTTTAAGTTTGGTTAGTTGAAATTTGATTTAACCACAAGTTTTAACTAAAAAGATATTAGGAAAAATTAAAAAGGATTTTGACGAGGAAGGGTAATTTTAGAAACGCTTTTTCTACTTTTGGGTTGGCATTTCTCAAAAACCAGATTTAAAGTCAGGGCTTCAAAAATCGTTTGCTGGTTAAATTTTGATTGTACAAACTGTATTTAAACTTTTTTTTCAATCTTTTGATTCTTCTGTGATGTAGAGATTTTAACTTTTTTCTCTTCAGATTCATCACCAAAACATGACGAACGTAGTGTGGCTATCAGGGTTGCTGCTGATTCAGATTCTGGTCACCTCAGCAGGAGGGCCATCAGCCTACAACATATTTCAGCAGCATGCTAGTCCATCCCATTTTAGTCACAGCAATTTTGGCAGTGATTACGGAGATTTTTCAAGCTCCTTCTCAGGCCCATCAGGTTTTGGAGTATCTGGAGAAAGGTAAGTTATTTGTAAAGATAACAATCAAATTTTCAATAAATCAACACATTTGTTGTCAAATATAAATGCTGATAACTTAGTTCCCAAATATTGTTTTTTGAGAAAAAAAAATTAGCCACCAGTAATGGTTTAACTGCCTTAGTTTCTTTCCTTATTTTTTTAATAAGGTATATTTAACATCCTAAGAGGATTTTAAAATCCACTGTTGGTTCCAAACGCCTTTCGAAATTTCCTCCACTAAGTAAAGTAATAATCATTTTCATCTGAAATGTTAAAAAGTACACTGATCTACTCAATTAAAATTATAAGATTATTATCAAAATAAACTGCTTTTTCATTCAATATTCAAGCTCTTCATAAACAACCTTTATTGTGTAATTTAACAATATTTTTTTAGTAATTTCTTATACCAACCAACTCAATTTCCACCACCTCAAACTACAACTCAAGATCCAACCACAATAGGGTGCGGTACTCCACCAGCAGGATGTCCAAAAACTAGATACAGATCTTTTGATGGAACCTGTAATAACCTTAGGAATCCTGTTCTAGGAACACCAAACACTCCCTACACCAGACTTCTTCCTGCTAACTACGGAGATGGTAAGCCAAACATACTTATTTCCACCCAATTAACACGACATATTATCTATTACAATAATTAATTGCACAATAAACAATTAATTACATGGCAGATGGAATTGTTCAATTAGTCATAGTTAAATTTAATTGACACGTTCTAGATGTGTAACCCAACTCCCTATTAAACAAATCCGTTGAGAAATATAATTCAAAGCCGTCACCTCAACAATGCAAATCATTTGTTATTGTTCTACTACTTCTTGATCATTGCACAATCAGGAGGTCATTCATAAATGCATTAATCTAATAAAATGATTCATGTATTTATTTTAATTTTTATTTAACACTAAAAGAACATTTAGTTAATTGTATCTAGCTTTAGCTAAACATTTTTAATTTTTCCAGTGGACATTAAATATTTAAATTATTAGATACAAATAACTAGTAATGCTGTTGCTTGTTGATATACAATAAAAAAGTCCAAATACATACCTACATATTTAAAAATAATAATATAAATATACTCAGAAAAGGTTCGGACTTCGTATAGTTTAAAGGAAGTATTAAAATCCCAGTAAAATTAAAACTTTAAAATGGCCAATTAAGTTTTTAAATTGACGATGGACATTTAAACTATAAAAAACTTTAAATGAAAATATCTTAACATAGATATAATTTTAAGGTGTTATGACCCCAACAACCGCCAAGAGTGGAAACCCTCTTCCAGCCGCTCGTCAAATTAGTTTAGCTCTTTACCCTGATGTGCCACTCGAAGACCCAATTTGGTCATTAAATGCCATGCAGTATGGCCAAATTATCACCCACGACATGAGTATGATTGCTGGATCAACTCAAGCACGTAAGTAAACTAAAAATGATGATATTTAATACGAAAAACACCGTTTATAAAATGTAATTATTATATGTTAAAATATGGAATCGACAGAATTTATATTTTGAATGTTAAACATGCTTTTTTTAACTACACGAAACTGGGAGGTATTTAAAGATCAGTTAATTTTTTTATTGAAAAGGTTCAAGAAGCATTACAAACTTAACTCTTTCTTAAATTTGGAAAAATTTTGGTCGATGGAAAAAAATAATGTATGTTGTTTTAAAAAACATATTGACCAAAATAATATTAGTTAACTGGTAATTGCTCCATCAAAGAAATGAAATTGACAAATGATTATTTTTTAGAACCTCATCAAACCAGATGTTGTACCGACGATGGACAACTTCTAGAGTTGGCCAACATCCCCGAACATTGTTTTCCAATTGTGTTGCCCGACAACGACCCAATTTTGCAACAAACAAGAAGGAAATGCATGAATTTTGTCAGAACTATCACAAATCGTGACCGTAACTGCGTAGGGGGACATACACCAGCTGAACAGGTAAGAAACCATTGCTAAAACATAATAAAACAATATGTATAGTTTCTTTGTTGTCAAGACAAGACAAGACAAGAATATAAATCAGATGATGGTTCAGTCATGATTTTTAATATTTTGAACAAGTTTTTATTTCATTAAAAAAATCTTAAACTCAAGAAAATAGGAAATTCATCAAATCAGGTCTGCGAAATTATTTTTTTTAAGTTTATATATTAGGGTGGTTCTTATTTGACCGATGTCGAAATTTTAATCATGCCGCCCCCTCATTTGTTTTTAAAAAATATAAAAAAAATGTATGCCAAATTTGAATGTCCTAACTTATTTCTTTCTATTGCCTGTAACAACGAGAAGTTTTCCAGATAGAGGGTTTTTGCCTTTAATGTATTATTAATATTTTTTAATTACTTTTAATCTTTGAAAAAGTATAATTTTTTGAGAAAATGTAGAGGACTTAAACAAAAAAAGAAACCATGTATTTTCATCCTAAGGTCTTTTTTACTTCGCTCGATTATTACTTACAGTTTTTCGTTTAGGGGACTTTGGCTTTAAAACGCAATAATTTTATAAACTCATTAATAATTAATGAACTTCATTCAATATATCCGTGATAATTTGCATTTAATGCATATTTAGTGTGTTTTGAAACGTAATTTTGTACTTTTTTAATGTTGGTGCTACCTAAATATCTTTTAGGCAATCTTAAATTATTTGTTTTATAAAACTTATAAAACAAATAATTAAAGATTGCCTAAAAGATATTTAGGAAGCACCAACATTATAAAAGTACAAAATTACAATTATGTAAATAATGAAATTGATTTTTAGATTGTTTTCGAACAATTTATTTTATTTATTTTTAAAGAAAGTAACATAGTTAAAATGGCAAAAAAATAAACTAAATAAAATCCAGATAATTAGGTTTTTGGTATTTTTTTAAAATTGTTCAGTCATTTTTTTTGCGTCGGGAAATATTTTTCGAAACTCTGACACAAGCTGTACAATAATATATTATAACACCACAAGCAAGAAGATTCTTTCAGCGGGATATCGATGACACTTTGTTGAAAATCGATCCGACTATGTGGCCTCAGGACGAAAATCAAAATCAAAACTAAACCGACTGTAAGTTACAGTCTGTAACTGAGAATCGTCTTAAATTATTTGTTTTATAAGTTTTATAAAACAAATAATTTAAGATTGCCTAAAAGATATTTAGGTAGCATCAACATTAAAAAGTACAAAATTCGTTTTAAAACACACTAAATATGCATTAAATGCAATGTTGGTGCTCCCTAAATTCCTTTTATGTAATCTTAAATTATTTGTTTTATAAAGTACAAAATTACGTTTCAAAACACACCAATTATGCATTAAATGCAAATTATCACTGATATTTTGTTTTTTATGCAATTTTCAATAAAATAACAATAATAGTAATAATTAAGCGAAGTAAAAAAGACCTTACGATGGATATACATAAATTCTTTTTTTTATTGGTTTAAAAGTACCATATTTTCCCTTCATTTCCTCAAAAAATTAGAATTGTTCATTTATAATTAATAATTTTATAAAATTAATGCGTTTTAAAGCAAAAATCCCCTATATGAAAAACTGTAAGTAATAATCGAGCGAAGTAAAAAATGATCCTAGGTAAAAATGCATGATTTCTTTTTTGTTTAAAAGTAACTTATGTCCTCTACATTTTCTCAAAAAATTATACTTTTTCATAGATTAATAGTAATTTTTAAAAAATAATACATTAAAGGCAAAAATCCTCTATCTGGAAAACTTCTCATTGTTACAGGCATTAGAAGGAAATAAGTTAGGACATTCAAATTTGGCATACAATTTTTTTATATTTTTTAAAATTAAATGAGGGGGTGGCACGATTAAAATTTCGAAATCGGTCAAATAAGAACCACCCTAATATACATACCACGTGGTCACATTTACCAGATACAATGTTTATATACAAATAGCTGCAAAACAAAAATTATACTAAAAGATCCTTACTATTGTTTTATTTACTCAATAATAATTAAAATTTTAAATAAAAAAGTTTTTGATATAGTTAATTTCCGTTTATGAATTCCTGCTAAATACGCAAAATGGTTTTTTATTTTATGTATTTAATTTTGTATTATTTTTAATGTTGTTTTTTGTTTGAGTTTTTTATTTTTAATATAAAAATACACATACATTTAAATCCACTGAATTTTATCAGAATCTACCAATATTCATATACGTCTTGATGTATGTAAATAAAAAAAAATAGACGTGATCCGTTATAACAAAGCGTATATAAATACCTACATAATTTAATATAAAAGAAATTAAAAAACTTTTTCATCGCAGAACATTTATATCTAATAACATAGTATAATATTATACAATCATATAATTATAAATAAATATCATTCTCAAGTGATTTTAAATAAGATTATAAATGCAGAATAATAATCAATTATTTTAATAGATTTCACACATGCACTTTCCTCACGAGATGCTGTTATAAAAATGAACTAGAACCTGTATAAGATAATGTTTTCAATACATAATCGTTCTGTTGCAACTTTGTAATCTAAGCAAATAGGTGCGGTACTTGAAAATTACCTACTTTACAATTATATCTGCACTAAAAATAATAATAAAAAATTACAATTTAGATCAATAGATCAATTTTTATTGAGATTATTTTAGCTAACCAACGTCAATCATTTCTTGGACCTTTCTATCGTATACGGCAACACTGCCCAACTCAACCAACAACTTAGACAATTTAGAGGAGGGCGTCTTATTGTCGAAAGGAGAAATAACCAGGAATGGCCTCCACGTGCCACCAATGCATCCGGAACTTGCAGCATTCAGAGTCAGCAGGAAGCTTGTTATTTGGCAGGTAAATTATATAAACCAAAATTTCTTGATTGATAAACACTGCGTCACCCTAATATAACAAGGTTGTATGTTGAAAAAAAAAACAAAAAATTTAAGTCTATGTTTCTACAGGATTATACGTGGCCTACGCTTCACATACCACTTAAAAATAATTCTATAGAATGTATATTCTATGTATACATATATATTAGGGTGTTTCATTTTTGAGCAACTTTTTTTTCAACTAAAAAACAGGCTAATAACTTCCAGGAAGGTGAAAAAAGAAGCCTCTAAAAATTTGAGCTCTTAATAATAACATTAAGTGGTGCCTGTTCCTAACTTTCCATTTTCCATTTAAATAACATGGAAAAAAAAATTTCTTTTTTCTTATTTTTGCATCTTGACATTTAAGCATTGTAAAAACGAACTGAAAAATTATTTTGGTAGGAAATTGAACGCTCTACAAAAAAAACAAATTTATTTTTTCATAAAGTAAGCCGTTCTGAAGGTATTCAAACTTGCAAATGTATGAAATTATGACTTATTTTATTAAACTAATACTTTTTTGTCTTAAAAATTATTTTCAGAAAAAAAATTTTTTTTGTATAGAAAGAAAATAACAATTACCTACATCTAATTTTTTTTCCATTTTATTTTATTTACTATTAAAAAAAGTTATTTGTGTTCAATAAATTTGTTCAATAATTATAATAGATTAAATAAAACAATCAATTTGTTATTGTATTGAATTTTTAATCTTTCTTTGTTTTTTATAATTTTAAAGTCGATAATTCTTATAAAAGATTATATCGGCTCAGTCGGTATATTACCGTTCGGATTACACAGGGACTAGAGGCACGCTAACGTGCCGCGATTCGAAATGTTAAAGGCAACTTTAAGTTTGAATACCTTCAGAACGGCTCACTTTATGAAAAAATATATTGAAACTTTTTTGTAGAGCGTTCAATTTCCTACCAAAATAATTTTTCAGTTCGTTTTTACAATGCTCAAATGTCAAGCTACAAAAATAAGAAAAAAGAAATGTAAAGTTAGGAACAGGCACCACTTAATGTTAATATTAAGAGCTCAAATTTTTAGAGGTTTCTTTTTTCACCTTCCTGAAAGTTTTAGCATGTTTCTTAGTTGAAAAAAAAAGTTGCTTAAAAATGACACCCTAATATATATAGAGTTATTTTCAAGTTGTATGTCAAGGGTGGATTACATAAAACCTTGTAGAAGCATAAACTCAAATTTTTCGGTTTTTTAACATACAACCTTGTTATATTAGGGGGACGACTGTGCGACACAATTCGATGAAAAAAATATATCTGGGTTGAAAGCATAGAAAATAAATATAGTACCTATTACAAAAATAAGTACATGTTTCACGATTTTTCTTTTATAACAAGTTTTCTATTAGGTTATTGTAATTTTGAAAAAATCCCACATATATATTTAAGTAGGCTGTGTATAGATACATATCTTCATTAGGGTGGTTCTTAATAAGAACTTCTTATTTGACCGATATCGAAACTTTAATCGTGCCGCCCCTCATTTCTTTTTCAAAAATATAAAAAAAATCTTATGCCAAATTTGTCCTAACTTATTTCCTTCCTACAACGAGAAGTTTTCCAGATAGAGGATTTTTGCCTTTAATGTATTAATTTTTTAAAATTACTATTAATCTATGAAAAAGAATATTTTTTTGAGAAAATGTAGAGGGTATACCTTACTTTAAAAAAAAAAAAGAAATCATGTATTTGTATCCTAAGGTCTTTTTTACTTCGCTCGATTATTACTTACAGTTTTTTATATAGGGGATTTTTGCTTTAAAACGCAATAATTTTATAAAATTATTAATAATTAATGAACAATTCTAATTTTTTAAGGAAATGAAGGGCAAATATGGTACTTAAAAAAAACTAAAGAATTCATGTATGTCCATAGTACGGTCTTTTTTACTTCATTCAATTATTACTATTATTGTTATTTTATTAAAAATGGCATAAAAAACAAAATATCAGTGATAATTTGCATTTAATGCATAATTAGTGTTTTGAAACGTAATTTTGTACTCTTCTAATGTTGGTGCTACCTAAATATCTTTAAGGCAATCTTAAATTATTTGTTTTATAAAACAAATAATTTAAGATTGCCTAAAAGATATTTAGGAAGCACCAACATTAGGAAAGTACAAAATTACAATAATTATTATGGAAATAATATTAATTATTATGGAAATAATGAAATTGATTTTTAGATTGTCTTTGAACAATTTATTTTTAAAGAAAGTAACATAGTTAAAATGGCAAAAAAATAAACAAAATAAAACTCAGATAATTAAGTTTTTGGTATTTTAAAAATTATTTAACAAGGATCTTTTTTGCTTCGGGAAATGCTTTTCGAAACTCTGACACAAGCTGTACAATAATATAACACAACAAGATTCTTTTAGCGATGGGATATCGATGACACTTTTTTGAAAATCGATCCGACTATATGGCCTCAGGAAGAAAATTATCAAAACGGCTTAAAAACTGTAACTCAGCTGGGAATCGTTAACGATGCTGCCGAAAGAGCTGTGCATTTATTTGACGAGTATAACTCCATCATAACACATAATGAAGATCAGAAACAATTTATTGTACAGCTTGTGTCAGAGTTTCGAAAAGCATTTCCCGACGCAAAAAAGACTCTTGTAAACAATTTTTAAAATACCAAAAACCTAAGTATCTGGGTTTTATTTTGTTTATTTTTTTGCCATTTTAACTATGTTACTTTCTTTAAAAATAAATTGTTCGAAAACAATCTAAAAATCAACTTTATTATTTACATAATTGTAATTTTGTACTTTTCTAATGGTGGTGCTTACTAAATATCTTTTAGGCAATCTTAAATTATTTGTTTTATAAAACAAATAATTTAAGATTGCCTAAAAGATATTTAGGTAGCACCAACATTAGAAAAGTACAAAATTACGTTTCAAAACACACTAATTATGCATTAGATGCACTTATATTTTTTTATGCAATTTTCAATAATTCTAGTAATAATTGAATGAAGTAAAAAAGACCTTACTATGGACATACATGAATTCTTTTTTTGTTTGTTTAAAAGTATCATATTTTCCCTTCATTTCCTCAAAAAATTATAATTCTTCAATAATTATTAATAATTTTATAAAATTATTGCGTTTTAAAGGCAAAATCCCCTATATAAAAAACTGTAAGTAATAATCGAGCGAAGTAAAAAAGACCTGAAAACATGATTTCTTTTTTTTTGTTTTAAAGTAACTTACATCCTTTAAATTTTTTCAAAGAATTATACTTTTTCATAAATTAATAGTAATTTTAAAAAATTAATACATTAAAGGCAAATATCCTCTATCTAGAAAACTTCTCGTTGTTACAGGCAATAGAAGGAAATAAGTTAGGACATTCAAATTTGGCATACCTACATTTTTTTTTATTTTTTTAAAACAAATGAGGGGGCGGCACGAATAAAATTTCGACAAATAAGAACCAACCTAATGTTCATGTGTAGATTTGTATATATACAATGTGGATTCCGCATGGATGCTTATTTATTTTAATAGCATATATTTTCTTATAATGTCCTGTAATTGGAGGAAACCCTGTTGGGCTAATAAAGTTTATTATTATTATTATTATAATATGTAAAGTTTTTAAATTTTATTAATCCAATAATTTTTACCATTATTATATAACCCTCAACATAAACTTATTTTGTCAAATAAAACGTTTTAGTTAATTTTTTTCCAAATGTAAAACATAACTTAAAATTAGTTCTTTTTATATTCGCCCCAATTAAACATTATGTCACGTTAGGCGCAATAACATAGAAAAACTGTGCGCAATAATCAACATAACATCAATGAAGGCTGTTAACTTTTAAATGCACCTTGTGTTGTTTTTATTTTAGGAGACACTCGTGTGAACCAAAACCCACAACTAACCCTTCTCCAAATCGTATTGCTTCGTGAACACAACAGAATCGCTGATGTTTTGTCAAAATTAAACCCGCACTGGGATGACGAAACAACGTTCCAAGAAGCCAGAAAAATTAACATCGCCGAACATCAACACATCTCCTACTACGAATGGCTTCCAATTTTCATTGGTGCCGAAAACTCCCTGAAAAACAGAATCCTCTACCAAACCAAAGGTTTTGTCAACGATTACGATGAAAGTGTCAATCCTACAGTCTTGAACGAACATGCTACCGCTGCTTTCAGATATTTCCACTCTTTAATTGCTGGACGTTTAGAGTAAGTATAAATATTAATTCTGGTTTAAAAGATCATAAAAAAACATTTACTTAGTTTGAAAATTATACGAAAAATTGACTCATATAAAAAAGTAAGATTTAATTTTTTATACATGTAGCAACACCAATAAAATGAAAAATAATACGAAAATCCTAAGTCTTGTTCTGTTTTTCTCACAATAATATTGTAACCTATGTTTTGGAACAAAATTAAATTTAACTAAAAGATTTAAATCTAATTTAAATTTAATTAAAATTAATTAATTAACGTAGTAATTAACTGTTTTATAAGATATTAACTTTATGAATTTAAATTAAAGTAAACCATGGTCTTCTACAAGTCGCAGTTTTCTGCGGATATCCTGGTTCTGGACGGTATTTAAATCAATTTCTCGAATTTTTCGGAATATCCTGACTTACAATTTGTGAGTATGAGTATAAGTATATATACTTATACTCATACTCACACTTATAAGAGACGTCTTCATCACTCCCCGACCCCGCAAAAGCGTCTGTTACCTTACGCCGATTTTTTTCCGCCACCAGCTCCGACACGGCTCACACTGGAAGGAATTTCAAAAATCGCGGACAAAACTTTATTTTGTGAAAATCAACATAGCAAATTTTAAAAATCAACATAGCAAAGTTATAAGCCCAAAGATTATGATTTTAAAAAAATATTTTTTTTATTATAAAATGCCCGCTTAAACTTGCTTAAAACGTCACATTGTTCGTGCCGGTTTTTTAGAGCAAATTGGATGTAAGTTTTCATTTTTGTTTTGCGTAATTAATGAAAGGTAATGATGGTATATTTAACCACATTCCTTATCCTTGTTCTTTCATATGAAAGTATAAAATTACAAATTTTACCATAAATAAGGTTTTTTTAAACCTTTTACCATTGCCTTTCAATGAAGATAAATCTTTTACAAATCAGGAGATATTTTTTTAGGGGTGTGTTGGTGTGCGGCAAAGTATTTGGTTTAGCTGCCTTTTTGCCTGCTGATCAAACACGTGTTTTTGTATATTATTAACGCTTTATAAAACTTTAAAAGTCCCTACACATACCTATTTTTAAAAATAAAATGAAACAAAAAAAAGTTACAATAATTAGCAGAAGTTATTTGGTAAAAACGTATGTATCAGTAAATCCTCCGGTTAGTTTAAAAAACGTGGATTTAACCGGTTTTGCTTTAAAATATAATAAAATGTAATTTTAACATCGAAATAGGGTTTTTTGGGGCAAGTCACTTTAGTAGTCGGTAGAAATAAAGCTAAAGATGCGAAATAAACAAAGAAAAGATGGAAAAAAATTGATATAAGTTATTTTGCTCGAATTGTTATTGTTTTTTTGTTTACTTTTCTATTTTTAGCCTAGGTTATATTGCGTAATTTATTTGTTTATTAATTTATATTTTTAAAGAATGGAAGATCGACAAAACCTAAATTGTGTAAAAAAATTTTGTGAATTTTTGTACATAATTTTACACATTTTATCATTATTAATATTTTAGCATAAATTTACTTCCGCATAAACCTTAAAATAGTATAAAATAATGTGTCCCTAATATTGTCCGCGATTTTTGAAATTCCTCCCACTGTGCGGCTTCACCCGTGCTTGCTGGGTGCGAATGTCCATTGCATCCCGTACTGTACCCTATTTGGGCCTCGAGAGCGAAATGCCAATAGTTTTAATAGCCATTCCCAGGTTCGCCGGGCCGAAGCTATAATCCCAGTAGGATCATAAAGGAGGGAGGACGGGAGGGATAGACATTTTGGTTTTTAGGGGACAATTACGCCTACGCAAATCTGCATACGACGCGGGATCCCCCTAGACCGGGAAGTTAGTATTACTACAAACATTTGGGATTACTGCTTGGAGTTGGCTGCAGAGGCCTTGTTTACTGGTCGTGGTCAACGTCTTAACCGTTATTGTATTTGTCCGCGTCCAAGTCTGATTTTTCATGTACTTGGTATTGTCTTGCCACGGTTGTTGTTTCGATCGCGTTGCAATCCTATCTCTGTATTGAACAGTTTATGTGCAATTGATGCGATTAGGCAGTTACCGGTGGTAGGTATTTTGTGACTTGTACTGTATACTAATGTAATTACCAATTCCATTAGAATTCGGTTTGTGTGTTTATATTCTGTGTTTATGTTTTCTTAATTTTATATATGTTTAGAATTTCTAAGTGTCAACTGTTTATTTGGTATTGTTTCGTTTAAAGTTTTCTTTAATATGGGTTTAGTCTTGGTAGCTTGTTATTGATAGATTTATTGTCCTAGTCAGCTTTCCTGTGAATTACCGCGTTTAGAATTGGGGCGGTTTTGTTTTGTTTTTTTTGTTTTTGTTTTGTTACTATTGTCTTAATGTTACTGGTGCACTTTATTTTTATTTTTTTTGGTTAATTTTTATCATGTTTAAGCGAAAAGTGCCTCACTTAGGGTTTTTTAAGGTATCTACCTGTCGTGGTGGCAAATAATGTGTTAGGTTATGCAGATGTTCAAGGTTACTTATCGGGAATTGCAGATGGCCCTTTCCTCCCTTGGTTATCCTCTTTTGTTTGTCTCGTGAAGAGTATCCAAATGCGTGGTTAGACCGCTACTTTAACACTTCAACACTTCCTTGATCAGGGTGTTCTTTACTCACTGTAGTTGTTACACTGTAGATTATTTGCACTTTAAGTTTTAAGAGAGCGATTCGGTAAGATGCGACTAACTTCGACGAATGCTCGAACGTGACTAAATTTTCGGAATATTGTAATGTGAAAATTCTGGATTTTTCAGTTTTGGTAAATACGTACACGGAATACCCTATTCACATTTGGCAATCGTCCTATAAATTGTTCTGCAAGACAAATCCTGGTTTTTAAGAAATCCAACCAAATTATAGATACTCCGGGCAAAATTTCTAATTTGGAAGACTTGTAAACGAATTTTCGTTCCCAGAGCAACTTGCATTTTTCCTCTGCTGCGAGTTTAGGAGCTCCTAGATTTTGTGACAAAACTAATGAGACATGTATGTTATTAGTACGAAGTACGAAATTGACACACGTTTATTTCAGTTTGGTTAAAGAAGAAAGAAGCAGTTTCCAAAACTTGAGATTGAGCGATTGGTTGAACAGGCCAGCAATTTTGGAAGAAGGAAATAATTTCGATGAATTAAGCAGAGGTTTAGCTACCCAACCAGAACTTAATTCCGATCAATATCATGACAGTGAAGTGCGTAGAATATTTTCTATTTAAAGATATTTTGTAAATAATTTAATACTGTTTTAGATTACTCAATATTTGTTTAGAGGCAACCAACAATTCGGAAGCGATCTAAAATCCTTCGATGTTCAAAGGAATCGCGATCATGGCTTGGCCAGTTACAATGACTATCGTCACTTCTGCGGACTAAAGAGGGCGCACACTTTCGAAGACTTATTGGACGTTATAAAATACGAAGTAAAATATACTTTAATTTTATTTACAAGCTTACATAATTTTTTTTTCAGAATGTACAAAAACTTTCCCAGATCTACGAATCCGTAGAAGATATTGATTTGACTGTTGGTGGTTCTTTGGAAGCCCATGTACCTGGAACGTTAGCTGGTCCAACTTTCTTGTGCATTTTGACAGAACAATTTTTTAGGACTAGAGTTGGTGATAGATTCTGGTTTGAAAATGGAGGCGACACTGGATTTACCAAGGGTAAACATTAAAATTATACTTTCAAGTTTATTCCTAACATATTTTTTACAGAACAACTCAATGAACTTCGTAAAGCCAGTATCTCTAGACTTTTATGTGACAACTCTCCAAATGTCAAAGCCATGCAACCAAGAGGTTTCGAAAGGATTTCCCATGCGTAAGTATAACATTAATAATATTCAAAGATTTTAAAACAATTGTCATAAACGTTTTTAGACAAAACAATTAACATTTATCTACTTCTATTGCATAATATTGGGATTTTTTCGTGAAATTTATTTTTTCGTGAATAATGATAAACATTATAAATTCCCTGCCTAACAACGTGAATAATGAACTCATTATTCACGTTGTTAGGAATCAGTGATTGGCCGATTTCAATATTCACTGTGATTTGAACCAATCGGGTTTTAAATTGGGAGAAGGCGACTATAATAACATTTAAAATTGGTAAAAAGTTAGGTTAACCATTTGACAGATTTTATTTAAAGGAATATTAAAGAATAGTGTAGATAAATTAATGGACAATGGCTCACATTTTAAAAAAATTACTAAAAAATAGACGTACGTTTATAATATACAGGTTTAAACAAAAATATGTTTTTTACCATAAGTTTAAGACACTCTGTAGAGTGGCAAAACCGTATATTGTTTTATTTATCAAGTCACATCTATTCTTAACAGTTTTGTTTTTGGTTCAGCTCGATATATTTCTTTTTGTGGAAAATATGGATTTTTTTTAAAACATTGAAATTTATAATATTTTTCTGTATGAAGAACTAAGGTTGCTATGGTCCATACATAGGCTATGGAGAATGACACTGACAGTTTTGGCTTTCAAATGCTATCAAATTGTTTTTTGCAAATTAATGTTTAAATTTTGAGGTGTCTACTTTAAAAAATGGATATGTCTCCGACTGATGTTGCCAGAGCCATTAATTTAATTCAGAATGGACGGTCACAGTATTACGTGGCAAGTGTTTTAAACGTCACAAGAAGTAAAGTACAAAGGGCAACATCAGTCGGAGACATTTTTAAAAGTAAAAAGACATCTCAAAATTAATACATTAATTTACAAAAAACAATTTGATAGCTTTTGAAAGCTGTATATGACATGTCCAAGTATGGGATGATTCAACAAAACTGTCACTGTCATCCTCCATAGGCTATGGATGGACCATAGCAACCTTAGTTCTTCATGCAGGAAGGAAATTGCAATGTTTTTTTTATTTAATCCATATTTTCCACAAAAATAAATATATCAAGGTGAACCAAAAACAAAACTGTTAAAAATAAATGTGACTTGATAATTAAAACTTAATTTACTACAATATACGGTTTTGCCACTCTACAGAGGGTCTTAAACTTATGGTAAAAAACATCTTTTTGTTTAAACCTGTATATTATAAACGTACGGGTATTTTTTTGGAAATTTTTAAATGTGAGCGATTCTCCATTAATGTATCTACAATATTCTTTAATATTTGTTTAAATCCGAAATCAAATAAAACAGTTATTTGCGATTGAAATTTATTATTTTGCCTGTGAGTGTAAAAGTAAATATTTCAATCGATCTATAATTTAAACGTTATTGTTGTCAAAACTCATTACTAAAGTGATTGGTTATAGACTAGGCACACAATGATTCTACCAATCGGGTTAGGTTTTTACAATCTAGGGAGAAAAAATTCATTATTTACTACTTTGGACCGATAAAAAAATTCGACTTGTATAATAAAAAATTTAAAAAAATCGAATTAAAAAAATTGTGCCTATAGAGAATACGTACTCTGTTAATTAAAAAAAAAGATGCAACTTTTTGGATTTTAAGTGCGATCATTACTACTCCAAGCTTATTATTTTTAGACTACGTCACAAAAATCACAAAATAATGTATATGGTATAGTAGGCTGTGCATCTTGGTTTTAAGCAACGACTTTACTTTATTTATTTGTTATACAAATTAAGTTTAAAAACATTAAGAATTTGGCAAGCGTCATAACTTAGTCCTATATTTTTTGCTACGTCAAAAGGTAATGTACCGCGAGTTACCACTTTTTGTTGTTAATTTTTAAAACCAAATGGTTTGGAAAGGTAAATCCTTAGGATGTAAAGCAAATTACTGGAAAATTTTATTTTCTAAAAATAACAATCGAAAAGAACTTTGTATATTATGATATTAATTTAATTGTTTACAAACAGTACAAGTTTTTAAATAAAATTGTTGACGTTGGTTAAACTTTTAGAATAATTCTAATTAATGCGAGTCACCCATGGAATGTACCTTATGTAAAATTTCATTGTATTTTGATGTAAGAGAAATCGCGAGTTCATTATAAAAATAATTAGTAATAATAAGTATCGTACCACGAAAACATCATGTTTTGTTCTTTCTAAAAGTCGCCGAAAAAATGCCGAAAAAGATGCGCCTAAACATTTTTTTACTTTGAATTTTTAAGAATTTTCATTTTACATGCTTTGGACAGCATCGTATTTGTACAAAAAGTGGACAGTCAATAGGCGTCCGCTAAGTGTCAGCCTTCAAACTTTGAGCTCAGTCCAAAAAGACCTAATTCTTGACCTAATGACATAAATAACTTTATTAACATTTATTTATTTTAGTAATGCTGTGCTTCCATGCGACCACTTACCATCAGTAAACTTATTATTATGGAAAGATATTAATGGATCCCCACAGATTCCATCCCCAGCTCACTTGGAAGAAGATTATTCATTTTTCTTTAATAAATAAAAACTATAATTTTAATGGTTATAATAACGGGTAATTTATTAAGTGCAATAACAAATCATTTATTACAAATGACTTGTTTTACTATTTGCGGTCCATTTTAATTACCAAAATAGTATTGTGCCTTATTTTTGAGAGATATTTATTCTAATTTTTAGGTTTTCATTTAGAATAGAACACATTGTCCTAACAGCAGAGATATTAATTTTAAGTTTATTAGGGCCTTTTTATACTCATAATATTGTACATATTAACTTTAAGTTTATTCTAAGTTTATTTTTACAAAAAAATTAAATGTTTTTCTTTATTGCTATCTTTGTAATGTAATAATTATCTAATTATTAAAAAATAATATTATGTAGCTAATTTTTTGTAAATATAAATAATAAAGACTATATTTTTAGAATAAAGTTATTTTATTTACAAAAAAAAATAACAAATAATGTTTTTGCCAAGTATACGAATTATTACAAAATATTTAGGTATTAGATCAAATCAAAAAATAGGTCAATTTACAGAAAACTAAGTATACTTTGTTACAAAAATAAAACAAAAAGATACAAAACCATCTTAATACAAAAATATTGTTTAACCAATGTTGTTATACTGTTTAGTTTTAGATTGGAACATTTCCAAATGATAAGAACGGTACGTTAAACAATTATCAAATGATTAAAATAATTGGGTTATTAGGTATTACGTATAGAATATTTGTTTAAATAACTAATAAACAAATATTTACAAAGTTTCAAATACAGGATCAGTGGCAAAGTTTATAACTTTACCTGGCGTAAAATGTTCAAATATTAATATCTCATTGTCTCCTTTCTTTAAAATCGGTGCAGGTAGGTAAGCGCATTGTTGAGGACCCACTCTGGCATACCTTGCTAATTTAAAACCATTTACAATTATGATTCCTTTCTTCCAATTTCTCGTGTCAATATAGGTATCCTTAACTTCATCGATATTAAGTGTAGCTTTATATAGAGTAGGACCTACTTTAAGTTTTGCATCTTTCCAATTTGTCAGCTTTTGAACCCACTCTTTCTTAAACTGTAGAGGGATTATTTGGAAATTAGTTAATACTTCGTTGTTTATTAGAACATCGCCTTGCCATAATCCTTTCTTTTGATTAAATTGATCCAATAATCCGTAATTATTGCGTCCCCAATTTTCTACCACTAGATCCAGAGTAATAGACTTATACTCATTTGCGCCCAAATTCAATGTAGAATCTTTAAGATTCCAATATCCAAAATTATTCAAATCAGATGATTCTTCTAGTATTGGGGATACCAATTCTCCATTTATTAAAACCATAATACTGTCACAGATTCTACCTTCAATTTTTAAAGTGGAGTTCGACGCAATAGTCACATTTGTTTTTCTGTATACAATATAGCCATAACTTTGACCCGAGTTGTTGTTAATGTTCAAATTCTCCATAGACATAAGTTTTGGGCTTTCAATTGGACTTACATCGTTTTGAGCAATCAAATCACCAAGTGACAACTGATGTGGTATCACATTAATAGAAGGATAGGCCACTCTTTTAACCAAGGCTGGTTCTTCAGGTTGTTGAAATTTAATATTGCTATGCTTGCTAACTAACTCTTTAAGCTTGTGGTATTTTTCGGTATAATCGCCATTTTCCGACAAGGGTGCATCATAATCATAGCTGGTGGTATCGGGTGAATAACCGGCATTATCAATACCTTTACCGATGTTGGCGCCATTTAAAAGGCCCCAATTTGTACCTCCATGGAACATGTATAAGTTAAATGAAGAATTTAATTTGATGATTTCTTCCAATGCATTCGTAAAACTGGTTACAGTTCTTGTTTGGTGTTGGTTGGTCCAATGGTCGAACCAACCTGACCAATATTCCATGACCATAAGTGGTTTGTTGGGTTGGAAGTTTTTCAGTAAAGTCAACTCATTTTTCGCGCCATCTTGGAAGTTAGCAGTGGCTAGAACTCCGGGTATAGTTCCGGTAAAACCATTGGAAGGGGTATCAGAAGTGAAAAACAATTCATTAATTCCATTTGTGATCATTATATTCTTAATCGTCTCCAAGTATTTGGTATCGACAGGGTCAACTTTGTTATCTGTATTGCCATACTCGTTTTCAATTTGGAAGGCTATGATTGGACCTCCTTTAGTAAACTGTAAAGGCGCCAATAGTGCCAATAACTTAACATAATAATTTTCAACGAGTTTTACGAACTGAACATCGGAAGTTCGTATTTTCATGTCTGGGTATCGCAGCAACCAACTGGGCAAACCTCCAAACTCCCATTCGGCACAAATATACGGACCAGGGCGAACTATAACAAACAAATCCTCCTCTTTCGCCATTTGGATGAATCTAACAATATCCAAGAACTCCTCAAACTCAGTTCCTCCATCGCCAAAATCAAAAAGGCCAACTTCAGGTTGATGAAGGTTCCATGGCACATACGTTTCGACAGTATTCAACCCAGCAGCTCTGAGTTTTCTTAACCTGTCCCTCCAATATTGCGGGTGCACTCTGAAAAAGTGAATTGCCCCGCTATATAAGGAAATGTTTTTTCCATTTAGCGTGAAGTTCGGTTGGTCGTCAGATAATCCGCTTTGAATTCCGCCATCTGTGTAGTATTCGTAGTGGGTCAAGGCCATATTTGCCGGTAGCAGACAACACAACAATAGCAGCGCAGGACGCGCGAACAACTGACACACTAGTCGCATCTTTAGGTAGTTTTCGAAACTTGTACGAGGCGAGCTTTATATACCGTTAGATTTCTGCGTTATCAGCATAACACACTTTGCTGATAACTATTATTTCTGGCTTAGGAATAATCAATTAGCGAACGATAAAAAGATGAGCCAACAAATTAAAATTTGTTACAAAATTAAATTAATTATTTAATATAGGTAACACTATTTATAGTTTAGCATTTAGCATTTTTGTTGTGCCCTCTGCCAGTCCCTATTTTTGATATTGTTGTAGTTTTTAATATTAATGTAGGTAATAAAACGAATTAGTTTTTACACATTATTTATTCTGGCTATAATAATGACCATTACTTTATATAATTAGTATTACTGTTTGTAAATAAATATTATTTAGTTAATAATCATTATATATTTCAGTAAAACTAATATAGGTAAATATAAAAAAATTAGTTGAAATATATTTATATTTTTTCGAATTGTAATATATTTTATAAATCATAATTATGGCACAAACGGCGCCTCATATAAATGCCTGTACAAAATAATACCACCTATTCCTGAGAACAAAATAATTCGATATAAATAAATTGACATCCTTACAAAAGTTGATAATAACCAAGATACACGGTGTTAAAGTTAAGAGTTCGTTTTCGATTTTATCAAATAAAAAGTTTATATTGACATTTGGTTTGACAACCATTCCAGGTTAGGTACTCGGCAATTTTTGTAGCGTCCGTAATAATAAAGAATTGCGAGTTAAAACTATAGTTTTAACTTACAGTATACTGTAATTATTATGCTTATAAGTAAGCCTAATTATTACAAGCATAATAAACCTGTTTGCAATAGTAACTATTGTGATAGTATTTAATTTAAATACGGTAGCTTTTACACACAACTTTTTATTATTACGGACGCTACAAAAATTACCGAGTAACGTGGAATGACTATCGAGTTAAATATCTTATTTTTTATACTATTCTTTTTTATTAACTTATTTTGATATATTTAAACCCTAGATAGTATCTTAATAAACACTTTATTATCATGAAAAAAACGCAGTGTCAGTGTCGCACCTGCTTACAACCTACATTAATTTTTTAAAGTAATGTAATTTTCTCGCCCTGAAAAACCACCGAATTATTAAATTGTGTGCGTTAACGTTAGGTAACTAAATTTGTAATGTATTTTTTTATTCGTAACCTAGTTTTAAAAAATGTTACATTATTAAATCACAATTAAATAGGTGCACTGAACCATTTAAATGCAAATATTAAAGATAAAAAAAAGTAATATTTTTATTTACAACGTGAATACACTAAGGCGCAAAAATATGTGACCATTTAAACGTATGAAAAGTGTCGTAGACAGCGCCCTCTACAACCAAAATTAATATTTTTAAGATCTAAATTTTCCCGGCCTAAGAAAACCCAAAAAATTAAATTTAAATATGTGGTATCATATTGTACAGGCATTTTGTGGACACCTTGTATAAAATATGTTAGTTATACAGGGTGATTAATGACTAATACTGAAAAAAAATTAAGTAAAACATTTTTAGTTTCGAAAATAATTTGAAAGTGTTATCTACTCTATATAGATCTAATATGAAGCTTTAAATTTATCGGTAAATTCCGATTTAAGCCCGCTGCACAACAGCCTGGTAACGGGAACCTAAAAGGTAAAGGTGGGAGAGACTCAGCGAACCCTATCTATCAACAGTGGTTTTTTAGTCTCTCCCACCTTTAATGTTAAGATTACCGTTCCCGGGCTATTGCGCAGCGGTCTTTAATGTTGCAAAGTGACGAGAGTGGAGTGTAAATTTGTATTTATTGTTAAGGCATTGTTTTTAATTAATAAACACTAATTTTTGTTGTTCGTTTGACAAGTTTTTGGCATAGGTCACCCAATAGACAGCAATGACATGGCAGCGTAACAATGTATTGTTGTTGATTAATAAACACTTTTTATAGTTTTTTTTGGGTTATGTTGGTTTAAAAAAATTTTGGCATATATCACTTAATAGCGACGTAACAATTAAAATCATCGGGAAAAAATACTATACTTCAACAATAAATACAAATATTTGATATTTCAATTCTATGGTTGTGATCGTATTCGAGTTTATTTTCACCATAACTTAAAATATTTTACTAGGTATACATTTTTTTTTATTATTAGTAATCAATTAATTAATTTTAAAAAAATGTATAGTAAAATAATTTAAATTATGGTAAAAATAAACTCGATTAGTAATAGTAATAGTACCATAATAAATTAAATGGATTTTTAATTTTATTAAATTCACGTTATTTTATTTTTATTCGAAATAAATTGCTATCACCGTAAATAAAAAGGGTTTACTACATTTTTTTATTATTGTTGCTCATTAGCTATAATTTACAAGTTTATGCGTAAAGGTTAAGAATCGCCCTGTATATATAACATGGTTAACCATGTTATATGTAAAGGTATCCCTGAAATGCCGTAAAAATTTAAGAATTAGAGGAAACATTTAATGTTTCAAATCAAATTTCGCCGTTTGAGACCGTTGAAATATCTTCTCAATAAAGATGTGTTATTATTATTATTAGTATTATTATTAGTATTATTATTATTGTGATTATATAGCAACTTTTTGAAGATATTGAGTCAATATCTTCAAAAAGTTGCTTTGAAACGATCTTCCTTCAAATTTACTAAGTAGCAAGTATTTGAAGCTTAATAACTCAATATTGTAGCGAGTACCGCTCTGGATATCGGAGTGATGACTCATCGCTGATGAGTCATCGCTGATGAGTCATCGCCGGTGAGTCACCGCTGGTGAGTCAGCGCTCGAATAATCGAGAGTGTGGAGCTCGCTGGAATGTTCCAGAAGACCTGGGCGCTTAATATATAAGAAACGGAGCAGCACAGAGCAGTTCAGTTGAGCTTTGGTATTCGCGAAGAAATAAATAAATATAAGTGCAAATAAATAGACTCTTGAACTAGTAGTGATATAAATAATTAGTACCCAGAGAGCCATATCAGGTTAAAACATGGCCAAGAATTGCCCATTACCTTTGGAAAAGTTTTGCCAATAAATGTACTATGTAGGACTGTATATTCCTATGGTATTTGTGCAATCGCGATGGCCAACAATAAATGACCAAATTGTGCCCAATAATATGCCAAAGCAGTTTGGATAAATTAGGTAGGTTACCGTTGGTTTAATTTTGGGAATGTTTGTGCATGGAAAAACGATGACAAATTTTTTATGTTTATTTGGGCAATTAGGCTTTTGAAAAATTGACCAAATATTGGTAAATATTTGGACAAATCCAAAGTATTAACAAATAGGTATTATTATTATATTTGAAAATTGGGTAAATAAAAAATTTTGTATTTATATTTTTTAATAATAAAAAAATAAAACAGTATGTTTCAATACTGGAACAGAGGTCAAAAATAAAATTAAAAAAAAAACAAATGTATAAATAAAAAATATTTAAAATAATCAAAATTGGAAAAAAATATTGTTTTTTTATGTTGAATCCCAAGCAGTGATTTAATTGTTTTTTTGCAATAAGGCTTTTTTTTTATTTCGGACCCGTTGCTTCGCGTTGTTTAAGGCCACGTCAAAGGACCTCTGGAATTCTAAAGCCCCTGGAGGAGGAAATTTATCATGTTCATGTAAACTCTCTAAAAAATACTTTAAGTAACAAAATTGTCTAGGAAATAATATTAAAATATAAAACATACGGTGAATGGCTTGTACGATTTTTGTTTTGGACACTCCAACACCAGCACGTCCAGTGCGCGTTATTTTGGAAGAAACTTCATCTGAGAAGGCTCCTTTGACAATTAAATTCACGCTGCCTACGACGTCATCGTCAGCGACAAATTTAAAGTAGCTAACCTATAACATAACAATATAAAAACACAAGTCTTAAAACGTATTTTGGAAGTGAAAGCCATTTTTTGATACATGTTTACAAAAAAGTGTTATTTTTCTATGAAGAATGCACTGTTTAAGTTTGGCCCCCTAATTTCAGGACACCCTGTATACCTATCTATAGATTTCTTTAAGTGCAGATGTATATACAAGAATATTCTTGGTTGAGTTTTTCTTGTTTGACGGGTCAACACAAATTGTGTTACACAATTTTTTAAATTAAATTACCTATGTTACGTTTCATTACATTACTTTAAATGCTGGCTAAATCCACCTTTATACTTGTTATAATATTATGATACAAATAGAATTACGATCAGGCTATCAAGAATTATGCTTTATTAAACATTAAGAACTTATTGTAAAATAGTTTGTGATTGGTAACTTTATGTTATGAAGAACTTTAAAAATAAAAAAAAAAAAATTTTTAAATTCAATAAAAAAATTGCAATTACCTTGCTCACTTCTAGCACGATAGATCTTAAAACCCAATAAATCCTCTTTTTCCTTCGTGACATATAGGTAGAAAATTTATTTTTAAATTGTCCTGCTTGTAGTAAAAGCCTAGTACCCATAAACACTATTTACCTAGAAAAAGGCAGTTATTTTTCTTCACTGCAACTTCAAGATGAAAATCTGTAACAATTAACAAAAAATAAGTACATAATATAGAACTAGCAATGTAAATTTATATTACCTACTTCAAAATTAATAAGGGAATAAAATCTTCGAGAAGTAAGAAATTGTATAATAATTGAATGTTTTATTAAAAACTTTGAAAACAAACCTAACCTTAATTACTTACTCAAAATTTAAAGCCGTTTAAAACTTAACACGTTTAGTTAGTGCACAGATGATTATATTTTTTTGTAATAACTATCACACAAGCACTTTTTGACGCCTTTTTGTAGAGAAGGTCTTGAAATATTAACGACATATAACCCTAGACCTAGGCATATAACTCGCCATTGCGATTCTTTTTCCATGCTGATCAATTATTTGCCAAGTTTCGATCAATCTGAATTACAAACGCTTTGCCAATTTTCGACCAAACTTCATTACAAACGACGTTGGCCAATAATA